AGGTGTCTGCTCTCGGTGTGGCTGTCCTGAGAATGGCTGTGTGGGGGGACTCTGGCGTCTCAGATGTCTGCTCTCAGGATGACGGACCTGAGAATGGCTGTGTGGGGGGACTCTGGCGTCTCAGGCGGCTGCTCTCGGTGTGGCTGTCCTGAGAATGGCTGTGTGGGGGACTCTGGCGTCTCAGGCGGCTGCTCTCAGTGTGGCTGTCCCGGCATGGCTGCTCGGAGGACTCTTGTTCCTCAGGCGTTTGTTCTTCTTGTCTTGGTGATGATTTCTCTTGTGATTGTCTCATCGGTGGTTCTCTGTGGTTTTCTATTTCTACTGGGGTTTCTAGGAGTACAGGTGTATTTTTTTCCTCTAGAAGGTCAAATGGTTCTTTTTCTTGTTTTCAGTAAACAAAACAAAATCACCAATAAACATAGTAGCCATCTAAACCGACTGAAATAAATCATAAAAAGACAAACATCGCTGCTATATCATTGACTTAGTAGTGACAGTGATAATACTAACAAAAATACTTTTCACATAGGGTATTACGTGTGCAATGTGTTTTTGCATGCATTATCTCAAACAAGCGTAAAATATGATGGGAGACCATCAGAGAAGCTATAATCAAAGATGTGTTACCAAATGCTGATTACACAGACACAATCCATTAGTCATTTAAAAACTGAAAAGACACAGGGAAGATTCTTGCTTTTTCTGAGTAAGTGAAACAGAAAAGGCATTTTTAGTAAAATGAAAAAGAAAGAAATCAGAGTGCAGGAGAATCTAGAAGCCATGTCCTTCAGAGCAGACCCCAACACATGAGAGCCAACCTTCGGCACTCAGGAAGAACACCCCACCGCCATCAACCTTTCACCGGCCAAACTACATTTCCCAATGCTAACACTACCTTTCCTATGGGGATGAATGCCATTTGGCAGAAGATATTAAAAAGATGCTCCTGAAAACTAAAAACAACACCCTTTGAAATAACACTTGAAAAGATGTCTTCAGTGAGAAGCCTTGCAGAACCTGAGAGGGATCAAGTCGCTCAGCTGACATGGAGATCTTGGCACGTTCACACACTTCCTTCCCCAAAACCTGCTCATCCCCTTGTTTTCAGAAGCAATGCGCAGACCCAAACCAGAAATCTCTACTCCAATTTCATTCGTGCCCCCCGTATCCACTTTGTGGCCCAGTGCGGTCAATTTTGTCTACTTCCAGGAATCTGTCACTTCTTGTCTGGGTCCCTGGGTCCCACCCCTGCCTGGGTCCAGGCCTTCACACCCAAAAGAGAGAATACGATGCACACACATAATACTCTCATCCCTCTCCCTTCTTCCCCTGCTATCACAGCCCCTTCTTAGAAACATATATTTGATCACATCATCTCCCTGCTTTAGCATTACCTACAGGATAAAGACCATAATCCTTACATTGACAGACGAGGGCATGGCGACCATGACCAGGTGACCACCAGAGATGTAGAGCTGCCCGAGACTGTGTTACCAGACAGTGCACAGCTAAACAGGCCCAGGCGACTAGTTCAGACCAAAGGGATGGGAAACGGGATGTGTCCCTTCTGGGCTGAGACGGCTGGGTATCTAATGTGGCTTCCTATGTCTTTCCTTCCCCTCCTGTAGCAGACTCAGACCATGTGTTGAAGACAGCAGCATAACAAAATCAAGGATCCCTGAGTCACCGTGTGGAGGAGAGCCACCCAGGAAAGCCTCCAATCCACAGTAGGCTGCTGTGATCAAGAAATAAGGATTTATTGTCTAAAGCCACTGAGATTTGGAATTTATTTATTTATTTATTTATTTTACTACAAATTAGCCTTGCCTTTTCCCACTGATGGACCTTAAAAGCTGAACCTTGTCTGTATCTCCGTCTTCCTCACATACTATTCCTTCCTCAGAAACATTCACTTTTTGCTCCAATTGCCCCAAACTAGTTGCACTCCCCCAATGCACCCTCACTCTTCCATGCACCTGACTAAGCTGACCCCTCTGCCCACCACCCGCTTCCTCACCCTGTCAAGTTGGCAAATTCCTACAAGCCCTTCCCAATTCATTTTCGCAATCCTCTCCTTTAGAACACATTCTA